AAGGCAGGAAGAGGCCAGCAAAGGGCAGAAAACAGGAGGCCAAGACACTGTGCGAAGCCTAGGAGAGAGCTGGAGAGAGGCAAGGCGAAACAGCACTGTAGTCCCTGCAGGATCAGGATTTTGGAGCTGAACCAAACTTGTTGAGGCTTCATGGTGTGTGGCATATTTCAGTCTTCCAACGGTGTGTTTGCCTGCATGCTTCTTTCTTCCGTGACTTTAATTATCATGTGTGTGATGTGCCACAAATAGGCAAATCAAGACTACAGTTGCTGAGTGTAGTGTACGCGCCTACGATTTGAGGCGGATGGGGGACGGGAATCAGGCCTTCAAGGTCATTCTTAGCCACTTAGCAAGTTCGTGGCCAGCCTAGGGTACAGAAGTTTATTCCAAAACAAAGAGCTCAGGGCTGGAGAGCAGGCTCAGTGTCCAAGAGCACTGACTGCTCTTCCAGAGGACATGGGTCCAATTCCCAGCACCCACACAGTGGCTCACAACAGTCTGTAACTCCAGTTCCCAGGGATCACCCCCATACACTCTTCTGGCCTCTGTGGACACAAAGTATGCAAGACGATGGCAACAAAGGGCGAACATGAAGGGTGCTGCAGACTACATGCTGAGCAGGGGTGAAATGCAGGGCTCCACCCAGATCAGCATTCATTTCATAAACTGTGCACTGCGGTGCATGCCTGTAATTCTAGCAGACTGGAACTGGAAGCAGGAAGGTTGGAAGTTCAAGGTCATCCTCCACCACAGAGCAAGTTCGAGGCTAGCCTGGAATACGTGGGACCTTGTCTCAAAATATAAATAAGAAAAGTTAAATAAATTAAAAATTTTAAAAAGACTCTAGTGTTCTATTTAAGTCATTTCTCCTGGAGACAAGGAAACTTCTCTTCAAATTCACCTCTTGGTTGGCTTCTCTCTCCCAGTGAAGCGACCGCAGCCTGAGAGACTCACATTGGGTGAAAATCAGAGAGCCATGAGTTCATAACCTCACAAATCGCTGCAGGAAGGGATGGACGGGACTCTGCACTACAGCTGGCTACCACTAGAAGCAACTATTTTCTTTCCATCTCTACTGGGTAGAATGTAGCACAGTGATTAGGCATTCAGACTCGTTTCTAAAACATCTCTTAAGGGAAGCTCAGCAACACACCATTTCTTAAGGCAGGCAACACTTTGACAATATTTTCTTGCTTTTTCAAGTCCTATACAACACATTCAACAAGTAAGGAGTTGCCTTTTGAATCAGAAATAAGTTAATCCGGGATTTTAAAGAACATATTCACAGTTCCTGTGGGTTACATAACAGATATCAGAGAGGCGGATCAAGAGCCAAGATGGATGAGTGTTTGCTCAGGAGCAGCGGCTTCTTAGCATTCCTGTGGGCTGGAAGGCTGTGTGAAGATTCACGAGTGTGATGGACAAACTTGATAGCCTTTGGGATCACCTAGGATACTTACGTCTGCTCGTGTCTTTGAGGGCACTTCTAAAGAGGTTTAAATGAGAATATTCATCCTAAGTACAGGTAACACATTTTGACAAATTGGGGACCCGGACTGAATAAAAAGGAAAAAACGAGGTGAACACTTGCATTCTGATCCCTGAGCTGCCTGACTCTGGATGCAACATCGCGTGCTCCTGTCACCATGCATGTTGCCAACCTGAATGCCTCATGCTTCTGACACCAGGGATGCTGCCAACTTGTCCTGCCGTGGTGGACTGTACTCTCTCAACTTATCACAGACCCACAGCGCCATCTTTAATCAGCCAACTTTGTGTCTACATGTTTTTTTCTTTGACTCCCCGCACATCAGTTTTTGCTGGCCATAACTTATTAGGTGTGCAGTCTTCTGCTCAAGCTCAATCCGTCTCCCAGGGGTAGACTCTTAAAGACCAACGAATCTCCCTCTCTCCTCAGCTATCCGATTCCAGTAACTCTACAGCTCGTGGTGGGCTTTGTTTCTAACTCTCTTCTGTGCCTACATTTGTCTGGCTTTAGTTTTGTTATCTCATTCTCTACACGTTCTGCTTGTTCAGCAACTGTTTAGCTTCTCACCTGATACCCGTCTTCTCCCCATTATTCTCAGTCTGGCTTTTCTGCCTAGCCTTATCCTTCTTTGCTATTGGTCAGTCAACTTCTTTATTAAACCAATCAGAGAATAATTTGCACAGTGTACAGGAATACTCCACAGTAGATTTTGTCCAGTGACGAACAGGAAATATCTTTATTTATTTCTTCTGATTAACGTTAGTTTGAAGTCTATCTTGTTAGATATTAGGCTAGTTCTACTAGCTTGCTTCTTTAGATCTGTTTGGTTGGAAAGTATTTTCCCAACCCTTTACTCCGCGCTAACGTCTTTCTTTGAAGCTGTGGTTTGTTTCCTGCACACAGGAGGCTGACTCCTGTTTTTCATATCCATTCTGCTAGACTGTGTCTTTTTAAAGGCGATGTCCATTATATTGCGGGATATAAATGACCAGTGATTGCCTTAACTTACTTTTATGGGGTATTTTACCAGTGTAGTCAGAAAAGCAAACAATGAGTAAGATTCTGCTTCATGGTATCTGACAAAGTTGTGGCTCCTCCACAGCAAGTAGGGGTGAAGATGGCTTTCAAGTCTTCATTATTCTTTATCTAAGTTTTAAAATAGTTCAGATTTTCAGAATAGGTGCAAAAGTCCTATACACCCTTCCTAAAACCCCCATACCTAAATTTCCTTACTGTATCCTTACCCTTTGTATGGTGTATTTGTTAGAATTACTAAACCAATATGATACATTGTTAACTAAGGTGCATAGTTGATTCAGACTTCCCTGGTTTATACCCAGTGCTCTCTCCCATCTCATGGCCCCGTATTACATTTAGTTGTCAGTCTCCTGGGGTTCCTCTTGACCATCACATTTTTCAGACTTTCCTGTTTCTGACATCCTTGCCAGTTCCAAGGAGTACTCATTAAGTATGTTGTAGCACGTCCTTCCAGAAGAATTTGCCTCATGTTCTCATGACTAGTCGGGGGTTACTGGGCCAGGGAGGAAGACCATAAAAGGGGAGGTGCCATCCTCATTGTGTCTTACCGGGGGCACATGCTATCCAGGTGACTTGGTACTGTGGGAGGCAATAGGTTGCTTTCTGGATTCTGCAGCGGAGAAAGGGGGAGAAACCTGACCAAACAGGATCCGCCTGCCTCTCTTGCCTCCCAGGGAGCTGCAGTGACACACACCACTGGGTGGTGGTGACTGCTTCAAAGAAGGGAGGAGTTACCCTGCCTTCTGGACTCCCTGGGTGTCCAGTGAGTAGATGCCCAGCAGAGACGGACTAGGACACAGGAAGTGAGCACAGGAGTCCTGCGGGTAATGGGAGCAGCAGCAGTTCAGGTGGGTCAATCATCACTGTGGCCATTTGCTTAGGATGCACGAATCAGGCCTCTTGAAAACAACACCCCACTTCTTCAGACCGTGGCTGCCGTATTCTAGTACTGAGGATTAAGTTTAAGACCCTGAATATTCTAGGCAAATGCTCTCCCATGGAGTCATCCCAGCTGAGAGCACCCTAAGTACATTAAGACTCAAGCATGGAACATATATGACACAAACTGGAACAGAAGCAGAAACATCCTGCAATTTGAAACATAGGTTCAGAGCTACAGGGCCTGGGAGCACCCCAGAGTAGCCTTGGGGAGTATCCAGCAGCACTGCATGGGCCAGAGTCCGCAGGATCTGTAACGCAGTCGCCCTGGGGCCCACTGGACTGCAGCAGCACCCTGCCCGGCCTCAGGGTTGGAGCGGCATTCCCCCAGTTTCTTCTTGCTCTTCCTCAAACACTCTGCCTGGCCTGCAGAACAGAGTTCTTGGAAGCTGTGGGTTGTTCCCACATGGAAAGTCCCAAAGCCTCTGCAGGATGTCCTCCTCAGTGCCCCATCCTGTCCTTATCACATCTGCAGGCAGCCTGGGCCACATTCCTCCTTCCTGAGTCACTGCTGCAGGCCTAGGCTCCCTGCTGGAAACCAGGCTACTGCCTGCTCCATCTCTGGCTTCTCCTTTACTTCTCTACACACGTTACAAATTTTTTAATTGCTGTAGGAAATGACCACCATCCAAGGAAAGTTTTCTGTTCTTAACTTTCCTTCTCACCTTTTCTGTGTCCTCAAAACTCAGCCCATTCCTACCCTGCTTTGATTAAAACATGACAATACATCTCTTATTTATATTCCCCCGAATATTCCAGCACCATTTTTGGTGGAGAGAGCCTACTCTGGTCGGTTCGGTCCAGGTCCCATCGTCTTTCTGGTGCATCCGACCTTCATACTTATCAGTGTCTCTTCCTGGCCACCCCTAGACCCTACAATAGCACCCTACAGTGCTACCACTGTAACATCTTCACCCTGCCTCTTTTGGAGATAACCTCCTATGTAACTCAGGCCGGCTTGAACTTGCTGTATTGCTCGGGCTAGCCTCACAATCCTCCTGCCTCAGGCTCCCAAGTGTTAGGATTACAGGTGTGTGTTACCATGTCCAGCTACCTTGATCATCATTTAAATGTTCATGTGGCAGGACATGTCTCGCCATTCCCAGGTGAATGGAGAAAGAAATGAAAAAGGGCTAGGTAGCTGGCTCAGCAGGTTAGGGTACTTGGTGCATAAGCATGAAGAAGAGAGTGTAAAGTCCCAGCACCTTTGTAAAAGGTGTGGCTATGTGCACCTGTAATCCCAGCCGGGGCAGGCGGGGGGAGGGGGGTAGGGGGACAGGAAGATCACTGAGATTTGCTAGCCACCAGCCTAGCTCCAGGTTCAGCAAGAGATCTGCCTCAAGGTCTTTTAAGATGGAGAATGATAGAACAGGAACACTTGATGCCCTTCTCTGGCCTACATATGCCCTACATGCATACATACCACACACACACACACACACACGAAAGGAAGGGATGGCGGGAGAGAGGTAGAAAGAAAGAAAGGAAGGAAGGAAGGAAGGAAGGAAGGAAGGAAGGAAGGAAGGAAGAAAGAGAGAAAAAGAAAGAGAGAAAGAGAGAGGGAGGAAGAAGGGAAGGAAGGAAGAAAAGAAGAAAGCAAACTGCCAAACTTCTAAACCAAATTATTTTGAACTTGTATCAACCAGCAATTTTGAAATCAGGTAGACTTTAGTCTCTGAAAACTACGGTCATAGCATGTGAAATTTCAAGTTCAACGTAAGTAGAGCATAGAATTGGGGCTAAATTCTGTTTTAATTCCTAGATTCTAGAGAAGCAACAGGATGGCAGTGGGTTTAGCAAGTGTATGGGAAGAAGACAAAGTTGCAGGCATTCTCTCTACGGGCATTGGCAACTTTACCCAAAAGAGCGGTGCTGCCCAGCTTGCCCTTGGGTTAGGGCATTGCCCTCAGGATACTCGCACCGTCTGTTACATTTAGTCACTGTGTGGCGGAGAGGCAGCCTGCAGGAGTCAGGCGTGGATCATGAGACTTGGTGACGAGACCCTTTACTCCCAACCCATCTCACCTACCCCCACCCCCACCCCTTTGAAGAACTATTCATTATTTGGCAAATTCCATGTGATGCTAAGTGCCAAGAAGTTTCTAGTTATTTTTCCTCCATTGAACACCTCCCTCTCTTCCTAGGTTAGCAATACATAATAGTTACTAGTACGCATTCTAGACTGGCCTGGGACTCACTATGTAGCCAAGGGTGACCTTGGACTTCTGATCCTCCTGCCTCCACCTCCTAAATGCACCGGTGATCAGGCTTGGTTCCGTGTGGTTCTGCGGAATGAGCTTGGGGTTTTATGTATGCTAAACAAGTACCCCACTAGTTGAGCTACATCCCCAGCCCCCTGTGGGTTTTTCTTTGTCTCTTTGTCTGCTTTTTGATTGTTTGTTTTTTTTTGTTGTTTTTTGGGTTTTTTTGGTTTTTTTGTTTTTGTTTTTTTTTGTTTGTGTCTTATGGAGTCCAGAGTGGTTTCAAACCCTAATATATTTGAGAATAACTCCTGATCCTCCTGCCTCTACATTCTAGATGTAGATGAACGTAGAGGAAGGGAGATGTTTCTAGAGCTCTGATGTATTCAGAGTCTACATGGAGTCAGTCTCCCAGACCACAGGGGTCTCAGTGAACACAGTAACTACGGAGCAGAGATCCATGGGAGGATGGCAGGAGGGAGAGGATACGGAAGTTCTCCAGAAGAGGCAACTGCTGAGCTGAATGCTGAGGGACAATTGATAACAGGGACTGAGAATGAGCTTGCCATGATGTGGGGGGAAAAGTGATATTGGATACAACTTATTTCAGGAGACACTAGACCAGAATTGCCAGTGGGACATAAGAAGCACGCTTCAACACGCAGAATGCACTTCTGAGAACCGCAAGTCTTCATCAGGGTGAGGCAGGTGGGGTGGGGAGGCCAGGGAGCCAGCACACTCCTCCCTGACAATCCTTCCTTCCCGGAGGCCGCAGCACAGGCTTGGGCCATGACTCTGATATAGCTTAGGTGAATGGACCACTGTCCCCAAGACTGTTTCCTTCGTGGTTAATGATGAGGTAATAACGTTCTGTAAGTACTGATGAGACAGCACGTGACCTGCTTCCAAGAGCAACCGACACAACCTGGTTGTCACCAAGAGCAGATGGGGGCTGGGCTCTTCAGCTCATCTTCCGGCCCTTACAGATCTGGCTTACTCTGACTCTGTGTGTGTGTGTGTGTGTGTGTGTGTGTGTGTGTGTGTGTGTATGCACGTGTGCATGTTTGTGTGTGCATACACAGCTGTTCGGATACGTATATGAGCAAATGTGCACATGATGTTGTGTGCATGTGTGTGGAGGCCAGAGGTTGATATCAGGGGTCTCTATCACTCTACATCTTATTTTTGAGACAGAATCTCCCACCGGGCCCGAAGCTGCCCAATTCCGCTAGCCTCGTTGGTTTGAAAGCTCTAGGCATCCTCCTGCCTCCACCTCCCCAGGTGTGCCCGGTCACCCTCTGGCCGGGTGCTAGAGCTCAAACTCAAGTGCTTGTGCCTGGATGGCAAACACTGCCCCGCCCCAGCCCCCCACCTCCTGTTACTTTGATTTAAAAGGCAAAACAAAAATTAGTGTTTCTGGAATGACAAGGGGTCAGAAAGTCTTCAGAAATGAAAGGAACCTCGCTGTCGAGTGCTCCCACCTTGGACCCAGCAGCTTCATTGACACAAATCCACTTCCATTAGACTCAATGACTCCTAAAGGAACAAAACAAACATTTAAAGAAACATCACAGCTGACAAAGACATCAGACATCTCTGCTCTTGTAATTTTTTTTTTAACCCAGAAATTTAAAAAGCATGTATGATGTGTAAGACTCACTGGTAGGTCTGGCAATGCCAGGGAAAAGTGGGTTTAATTAAATGTATCTATCCAAACTTCCTGCCAAGCAAGTGGATTGGTCAGGGCTTCTCAAGAAAGAGCGGGAAAGACCCACAATTCTGTCAGGTACTGGGGACCTCATTCTTTTTCTTCTTCTTGGAGGCCTTCAGAAGATCCAAGACCCATCTCAAAAGTACCCCGTCAGCAATAGCTAAGCCCGTGTTTCTCAATCTATGGGTCTTAACCTCTGTGGGCTGTCATGCTCAAATAGCGGATATTTTGTTATATTATTTGCATAACAATTCGTAACACTAGCCAAATTACAGTTATGAAGTAGCAGTGAAAGTAATTTTATGGCCAGCGGGTCACCACAGCATGAGGAACTATATTAAATGGTCGCAGCCTTAGGAAGGTTGAGAATCACTGCTCTGGACACATTTGACTCAAGTCCTGGGGGCCGTCACTGCAGTGCGGGACCACACATTGAGGATAATGTGGGTGCGCTTACCCAGGCAGGGTCCCTGTCTCCTCCTTACCCTCTTCAGGTAGCTCCATGCCAATCTTCTTCAGGGGAAGCAGAGACTGGGGTGCCCTGTGCGCAGACGGAGAGGCCTGGCTGATGACCCTCCCTACTCCCTACGAGCTGGGCTGTTTCACCCTTGAACTTCGGGCTCCCTGGGTGTGAGGGGGGCACTCTGGACTGCTGGGAGCATGAGACACGCCTGACAACAGATGTTTTGAGCTCTCCTAGGGAGTGGCCACTGCCCTTCAGCAATGGCTGAAGCTCACTGAGTCGGGGACAGAAGGAGCCCGGTGTCCTGATGGAGGAGGTGGGCTTATGGAGTGAAGCAGTTGAAGGGGGTGGGTCCCACACCAAGTATGTGAGCCCGAGTTCCAGGGGAAAACATCAGCAGTCTTTTAACCTTGAGTGAAAGCAAATTTCTCTCTCTTTCTAAATATTTAAGCTCACCTTCTTGGCCACCCCCACCCCAAACAATCTATTCCCTCCCCAAAATTCACCTATGACCTTCCTGACAGGAATCATTTCAATAGTTTCTTACTTTTTTTAGACTATAAAATGGTGTTGGTGCTGATCTGTCTCCTGCCACTGTGTCAGAACCACACACTGGGTAAACTGGGAAAATAGCAGAAGCTCGTTGTGCTCCCGGTTCTGAGGCTACAGGGGGAAGAGCACGGTGCCAGCCCATGAGAAGAAGCCTGGTGCAGCGCTGCGCCATGGCAGAAGGGAAGTGGTCAGCGATGGAGCCCTGCAGAGTCAGCACACACCCTCCCTCCCTGTCCTTCCCAGAGGCCCCAGGCAGGCTCAACCATGTTTCCTGTGTGAATGGCCCAATATCTGAGACTGCTTCCGTCACAGAGAGACAAATGAGCACCCAGAGCACAAATAATCAGGCTATAGTTTCTCTACAAAGCCTACCACAGTCGAGTAAGAAGTGCGGGCAACTGTTCACTTTGTACACAGTACTCTGTGCTGTCTTTGGATAGATTCTTTCTTGGAAAAGACCAGAAGCTCTCTTCTTTATCTCCAGCTACCAGTTTCCTCCCCAGTTGTTATGCGGGGAGATGTCACTCACCAAGGTCTCGACTGGATTGCTGCAGAAGCCCTCCGGTGTTCCACGCCGCACAACCCTAGGCCAGGCCGTCCCACGTGCATGATGGAGCGAGCCAAGACGTCAAGTCATCGGGCTGGTGGATGTGACTCATCTTCTGACCCCTGTGGGGAGAGAGCTGTGTTCGGTGCCCACTGTGCACCTGTCAGCAGCCAGCATCCTGTAGGCCAGGAAAACATCGGCCCTTCCAGGAAGGGCTTTGTCTGCAGCTGGAACAGAGGCCCCTGAGTCATGGAAGAAACCCAGGTGGATCCAGGAGGTCTGTGTTTACAGTAGACGAGTTCCCTGTCTCCACCCTACCCAGTCACCAACACAAGCGGACAACTAGCCCTCAGTTTTGTTTACCTTTAAGTGTTTATGGCCTGTTATCCATGGGGAATTGACAACGGCAGGATACACAAGGAATACGAAAGGAGGCATAAAGGACTAAGGGTGGTTAGGAGGCTCAGCAAACACTTTTGCTGGGCTCCTTGTTCTTGCCTCTGAAGGAGCTTGTCCATCAGGGGCTCTGCTCGCTACCCACCATGCCTCACTCCCTCCTGGTCTCCGTCACAGATCGTGTTCATTTCCTCCTCTCCTCATGTAGCCCAGGCTAGCTTCAAGCTCACTACGTAGCTGAGGCTGACTTTTGAACTTCTGAGTTCCTGCCTCTACCTCCAGAGCGCTGGGGATTATAGGTGTGTGCCCCAGGGGTGGTTTTCGGTAGCGCTGGGAATGGACACCAGGCTTTGAGCAGGCGCGGCTTAGAGCAGGCGCGGCAGAGCGCTGGGCCTCTCCAGCTGCATCCTCACCCCCACTAAATTATTTAGCTGCTCAGCTACTCCTTCTTTTGACCCACAAAAAAGAACTGACTTGTTCAAACACACAGAATAAAGGCAGAGTGAATGTCTAGGGTAAGCAGGAAGAGAACCGGCAGACCCGAGCCCAGCTTGTGGGGAGTTGTCACAGCCAGGTCCAGTTGCCACCCATGGGCTACAAGTTTCCATCCAAGAGGAATGAGAAAAACAGTAAGGAGAAGGTCCGGGTCGGGAAAGACCCATCTTTCTAATACCTGAGGGAGGCCGAAGATCTCAGTCAGACCCTCAGGGGCTGAAGGTCACCTTCTGAGTTTGACTCTAATCCTGTTTGAGTCTATCAAGAAATGCACTTTATGAGGGATTAATAACTTAAGACTGAACTAGAAACTGGACTAGACCGCAGGATTGGTCAGTTGTAGAAGAGGAACAAAATGTAACTCCAGCCCAGGTCTGAGTGCTCAGCCAAAGAGCTCACCTGTGGGCAGCAGGAGCCCTGGGATGTGTTCTGCAGTAGACACAAGTGGTGTCTGTGCTGGTGAGTTTTATATCAACTTGACCCAAGCTAGAGTTATCTGAAAGGAGGGCTGTAGGCAAGCATGTGGTGCATTTTCTTCATTAGTGATTGACAGAGGAGGGCCCAGCCCATTGTGGGCAGTGCCTTCCCTGGGCTGGTGGTCCTGGTTCTCTAAAAAAGCAGGCTGAGCAAGCCATGGGGAGCAAGCCAGCAAGCAGCACCCACAGCCACGGCATCAGCACTTGCCTCCAGGCGATGGAACTGTAAGCTAACACACAGGCTTCCCACCCCTAGTTGCTTAGGTCAAGGTGCCTCATCACAGTGCCATGAACCCTAAGACAGCGTCTCCTCCCCTCCTTCCTTGGTGAGGCACAAGCCCAGCTGAAGTTCAGGGACAGCAGTTCCTCTCACCCCAACAGCTTGCTGTGCACAGCGCTTTTTGATGATCTAACTTCCTCCTGTGTGTTTGCAGGATGAACGCTGGCGAGTGCGGCCTGGGGTTTCGCAGTGTGGAATATTACAAGGGCTTTTCGCAGTAAGCCAGCCCAGCCTCAGTGACTGTTATCAGCCGTGACAGCAAATGGGAGGAAACTGCCAGCCAGAGATAAAGATGAGTTTGTGGCCTTTCTAAAGAAAAGGCCCCTTCAGGGACAATGTCAGACATGGAATACAATGTTCTGGATGTATCTGTTTGACTGTTTCTGCCATACTCCTCACTCTGCTCTCTGGGAAGTTCTGTAGACAGAACAGATGGATCTGTGCTGACAGATTCCAGACCTCATGTGCAGCTACTGTCAGGAATACGATTGGCAGGTGTTTCCTCAAGCCACAGAAGCCATCCCGATGCACCCCAAACCCTGTCTCCTATGATTTACTATACCCAAAAAATTGCTAATATCCCCACTCCCACAAAAAGCTTATGCATGAAAGGCTTGGTCCCCGGATTGCAGCTCACTTGAGAGGTGACTGGATCGTGAATGTTCTAACTTTTCCAGGTCTCTGACACAGCAACAGAAAGCTGACCCACACAGTTCTCTGACTCCAAGACAGCAGAGCAAAGATGACCTCTATTCGAACCACTGACAGGACAATGTCACTGCCTTGTGGCTCTTTCTCCCTAATCTCCTCTTTGTTTGAGAAGCTTCAGAAAGTGGGTACTTTCTCTATTCAACTGTTGGTAATAAAAATACCACATCCTTGTTAAGTTTATTATGAAGAAATTAAAATACACACAGAGTAGAACGGTGTAATGAACTTCCGTGTACTTAGCACACAATAGTTGACTCATGGCCAATCTTGTCTCAACACTACTTCCATCTATTTCCTTTCTCCCACATCATCCTAAAACAAATCACAGATACCATATTGCTCTGTCCATTAATGTTTTAACCTCTGTCTCTAAAATACAAACCCTTTCCTTTAACATTGTGACACCAGCATCCCAAAGTATCCCTACACATCTTCACACATCAAAACCTACGCTCAGAACTGTCTCGGGAGTATTCTAAGCTTTTTGTTTGAGCCAGGATCCAAATAAGGCCCACACATCCTCTCAGATGAGGACATTATTGGAAATAACATTGTTTAATGTAAGAAGACATCTGTGACCTCGCCATAGGGCACCTGTGCTGTTTGATGACAGGAGGCCTCCTCCTAAGAGGTGCCGGCTCAGAAGCCTGCTGGGAAATAATGTGGCCTCTGTTAGGTCTCATCTGCTACAGATCACACTTGAAGGCTGGGTGGACACACACTTCACCTCGGGAGACAGGGTGCAGTTATCCGAATGTGGGTGGCCCAGTTTTAGGAGACCGCTGAGCTGTGCCACAGTGGGAGAGTCCCTCTGGAGGATGTGGGTCACCAGAGACAGATCTTGAGGGGTTCCAGCCCAGCCTCCCTTGTCTGTTCTCTGCTTCACGGCCGTGGCTGCACTGCGGCCAGCTGCCTCATGCCCCTGTTGTCGTGCCTGCCCCACAGCCACGGACACGCATCCTCCTTGCCAGAGAAGGGGTCACTGCAGGCAAAGTAACGACAGTGGCACGGTCCTCCTCTCCCCAGCTCTAGCAGAGTCTCGAACATCTGGCCACTCTAAGGTGTACCTCGTGGCTCCTCTTCTCCAGGGGAGACATGCAACATGTATTGTTAGTAGGACTCAGGTCAGAGCAGTGTGAATATCAGTGTGGTCTTCAGAAGAAAACACAAATTTTAAAAAATATTTATATCATTTTTATAATTATGAGAGCTTGTCTACATGTATGTATGCATGCACACACTCGGTGTCCTTGGAGGTCAGAAGAGGGTGCTGGATGCCCTGGAACTGGGGTTAGAGACAGTTGTGAGTTATCATGTGAGTGCTAAGACCCTTTGGGCTCTGGAGGCCAATGCCTCAGTTCAGCATGTAGCAGAAACAAACCACCAGCAGGCATGCCATGATGGGTAAAGTCTTCCAAAGTTTCAAACTCCTGCCAGCACAGCAGAAAACAGAAGTTTCTGATCCGGGGAAGGGCTGGCATGCTGGCTAAGGTCCAGGACAACTCAGACCTGTGTGTTCATTGCACATTCATTGAAAATGTTTGACAAGGGTTTACAACTTGCAAAATCCAGGGACTTGCCTGAGTTAATTTAAATGCATAATTTTACTATATTTTCTTATCAAACAATTTTTACTTGCAACAACTGAAGTATGACTTAAAAGAGGAACGTCACACTTGGAGGGAAAAAAGTCAGAAAAACCCTCATGGTAAAGCCAGACAATCTTTGCAAGACACAGAGCTGATACTCTTGGATTGACAGCAGAACACATCTGTTTCCCTGAAACAAAACCACAAGGGCAGAGTCTGTTTTCAAGGTCATTTCCACTTCATCTCCACTTCTCAGGCTCAGGGAACGATGCTCGTGGCCTTCCTCAGGGCCAGGTAGCCTGTGACCACGTCAGACGGCAGCCTGCGAATGTAGGAAAACTCTTCAATGGTGCTGAACCGCAGCTTGCTCTGAGGGTCTGTGTAGTTGGCCTGGGAGAGAAACAGGAAAGGGAAGGGCAGAAAGTTGTTGGTGGAGATATTTGAAGCACAACTTTAATCTTTTTCTACTTTGCTCAACGTAAAATATATCTTCGTTATGTTTCACTGTCACCAAGGACACTAAACTGTGCCAGGCAGTGGTGGTGCACGCCTTTAAACCCAGGGCTCTTTAATCCCAGGGAGGTCCAGGCAGGAAGATCTATGAGTTCAAGGCCAGCCTGGTCTACAAAGTGTGAGTTCCAGGACAGGCTCCAACGCTACAGAGAAAACCTGTCTCAAAAAACTGAAGAAAACAAAACAAAACAAACAAACAAACAAACAAAAATCACTAAATTGCTCACTTTGGCAGACTTGAAGAACATCTTTCCAGACTTGAAGAACACTCCAGGGACAGTCTGTAGGAAGAGGAACGGCCCCGCCAGATCCTGGGACACTTCTTATTGGTACCTCGAGAACTGCAAACTACAGATCCGAGACTCGTTCCATAAGGGTCAATATCCCAGCCTTCTGTCTCCCACCTCTGCAGACTCAGAACTCATCAAAGTGCTGAGAATAAGGGACTGTTGAGTGCTTGCCCGACTGTAAGCAAACATCTCTCACCCCTTCTGAGGCTCAAGGACAGGAGCAGAGAGACAGGGAAGGGCCAGAGGATGGGAGGAATGCTGTCCTGTCCGATGCTGTCTCCTGTGAATTACGTTTCCTTTGATGACAGCAACACAGGGAAAGGCCCGATTTGAGAAGCAGGAACAAAGCTGTTTCAGAGAGCTCGTGGCTGTGCACTAGTTAGGTGAGCTGTCTGGCGGGGCAAGTCATCCTCATATTCTCAGAGGGTGCAGGACATGAACTTGGCATGGATTACCTGACTCCACACATAAAGCTACGGCCCAGCTTCACTGAGGCTTCATGTGTGGCAGCCTCACTCCTACACTGTGCTGAGTTGGCCACCTGAGTTCACACCTCATGCCAAGAAAGCTGCCACATAAACAACTTAGAACACAGAGATCTTGTGGCGCAGACAAAATGGTCATGGACAAAAGCTGGAACAGACTGGAGCCAGGAGTCAACACGCAGTGTTCTGAACAGAAAGGAGTAAGCCAAACTATATCCCTGAGCCAGATGAGTAAAGAATATCCCACCCTCCTCTGAATTCTGTCCCTTGAGACTGGAAGAAAAAGCAGGCTGCCTGCTCACGGGGACTCAGCAAACTGCTTCTGCCTTGCCCCAGCTTTAGAATGACAGTCAGTGTTCACAACCCCGGCAGCCTCTAGATTCACAGCATTCAACATAGCTTTGTAAAACTCAGGTGTAACACACCCCATGTCTTCCTCCTGTGCCCAGGCAAGATGAATTACTGCCATCTAAACAATAAAACTAAAGCTTTTCACAGAGAGAAAGAACCCGTCACCAGCATCTTCTACCTCGGAGTCTTTGGTTTCCCCTGAGAAAGCCACTGTTGGTGGGGATCCTTCCAGGCTTTCAAAATTTATGTCTTACTAGACAAACCAAGCAGAGAAATTACCATGTGTGTGTGTGTGTGTGTGTGTGTGTGTGTGTGTGTGTGTGTCTTTACCATACAATCCAATCCACACTGCTTGGCATTTTCTAGTCAAGAATGTACCCTGGAACCTTTCAACATCAACCAGCTCACAGAAAACAGCAACACATCTCAACAAAAGACCATCATGGGACCCCCAACACTTTGCTAATGTCGTTCGGAAACATTTCTGTGTAAGTTTCTTGCACATCCTATTTCTCTGGGGAGCTGCATAGAAGGCAAACTGCCAGGTCATAGGTTTCTTTCTTTCTTTGTTTTCTTTAAGAAAATGTGCCAAGTTGTCATTTAAGGGAGCTGCATCAATACCCTTCCTACTCCCAAAAAGCAGTGTACGAACACACAATCTCTTCATCCAGGCTGAAATATACAATCAAACATTCTCAGTCCTTCCATCTGATAGTGTTTTCCCAGCTAACAGTGAGGTGAACTCCTGATCACCCATATTTCCTCTGTCACTGCCTAGCCTAGCTCTTCCCCACTTCTTTTAAAGAACCATCCGTCAGTGGTTTGGGAGTAGAGTTCATACGTTCTTAAAACCTTAATTCTTACAGTCCGAGCTTAGGTAACGTATTACAGCAAGACCTCTGCTGGCGCCACAAAGGCCTGCAATAACGGTCTTCAAAATGGCGCTTAGCCTCTCCACAGGTGAGAACCACTGTGCCAGCTGCTGGCTGCTTGCCAGGGCTGAGGAAAAGGCGGATATGCCGAGGAGCCAGCTTCTGAGTCTGTTCATAAACCATGACTGCCAGCTGCTCAGAATGACACAGGGCAAGACTCCCATTTCAGGAGAGGACAGTAATGGGGCCACACCAGGTTTCCCACCTCAGACCACTGAAGTGAGCACAGCACACATTCAACAGAAAAGAGGGCACAGAGGCCAATGGCTGAGAAGACAGAAATCATGAGAGACTCGGGAAATAATTCTAGTGAAAAGCTGTGGGATCAGACTGCTAGATGGACATACACAACCCAGTGAAGAAAGCTGGGAATAGAATAGACAAAGAAAAAAAATCTTTAAAAATTTTGTTTCTCTAAAAGAAAACTAAAGCAAGAACTAATAGTCTATTTTGTGCTACCTTACACAGAAGTAAATATGACAACAAAGAACAAGAATGTGCTGGAAAGGGATTAGTACATGAGTCTCACACTCCAGAAAAAGCAGTGTAGTGCTGAAAATAAACTCAGTGTGGCAAGACGAGCATTAGGTCTAGGAGGGCAAATACTCAGCTTTTTTTTTTTTTTTAAGGGGACATAAATAAGAATTAAAATGCCCAGTTAGCCTAGCTCCCTCACAAGGAAAGCGCATGGCACAGTTCCATAGCAGAGCACTCTGTAAAGAACCTGACCCACAACCAGCTGTGGTGGCACAGGCCTTTAGTCCCAGCGCTTCCGCGGCTGGGGCAGAGGATCGCATGAGCTCAGGAGCAAGCCAAGCTAGAGAAGTCCAGCAAGACTGCCCATCTCAAAACACACACAAAAACTTCTGACAAAGATGGAAAAACAAGGAAAATTTGAGAAACCGCCACAGTTAAGAGTGGTCTAAAGAGTTATGACAACTAAAGACGATATGGTATCCTTGACAGGATAGGACATTGGGCTTGGGCAGAATCTAAAAATATTTGCCTTTCTTTGTTCATCTCCCACCTCTTCCCGGCCTGGCTTTCTCTCTCATGCTCCTTCTCAGCTGGTGGCACTGAGGATCAAACCATCCTTTGCACATGAGGCAAAGCTAATCACTAGGCTACACCTGGCCCCAAACTAAGAAAATTAATAAACTGTGGTAACACTGCCATCTCTAGTGGCTCACTAATCGAACAAACCCACCACAGGTGTTAATAATGGAATGACTTGAATTGGGAGGGTGAGAACTCCCCCTGGACAAGCCTCTCAGTCTTACTGTAAACTAAACTGCTCCAAAGTATTTAAAAGTGCCCAAGTAGACCAACACATGACCAAAACAAGGGATAAAGGCATGCAGGTGGATCAAAGAAAACAGGTGGATTAAATTCCCATATTGTACAATATTTGTTTAACTATGCAAAGATGTGTTGCATTTAATTGGTTTTACCTTGCCTGCCTAAGGCACCTGATTAGTCTCATAAAAAGTTGAATAGTCAGGATCAAGGGAGGAGGTATAGGCAAGACTTCTGGGCAGAGAGAGTAAGAGGAGGAATTTAGGCTCAGAAAGAAAGGAAGAAGGAAAAGGATACAACAGGGGCCAACTAGACAGACATGGAGGAAGCAGGAAAGTAGGACATACAGGATGGAAAAAGTAAAAAGTCCTGAGATAAAACATAGATGAAGAGAAATGGGTCAAATTAAGTGAAAAGAGCTAGTGGGGCAAGCCTAAGCTAAGGCCAACCATTCATAATTAATAACAATTCTAGATGTCTTTATTTGGAAGATGGTTGGTGATGCAAAGGAAATTCCAACTACATACAGTGCTCAATGTGAGGCCCAAATTTCCACATAGGGTCTGGGGAAGCTGACAAAAAAAAAATACAGCTCCATTAGGAGGCACTGTTGTACAGCAGAGCACTTGAACAACCAGTACACTAAGTAGAAACAGCAAGTTAAGTAAAAATGCCTGCCATGGGGGCTGGAGAGATGGCTCAGAGGTTAAGAGCACTGACTGCCCTTCCAGAGGTCCTGAGTTCAATTCCCAGCAACCACATGGTGGCTCACAGTCATCTGTAATGAGATCTGGTGCCCTCTTCTGGCATGCAAGCATACATGGAAGGAATGTTGTATACATAATAAATAAATAAATAAATCTTAAAAAAAAATGCCTGTCACCGGTGTACCTAATTCCTAGAGCTGGGGCGGTTAAAGCAGCTCTTGGCTTAAGACTTGGCTCTCATGGACGGGGGAGGTAGCCAGCCGCTAGAGCCGCATACTGGAGGGCCTAGCAGTGTTAAGATTTTGCTCACATGGTCAGAGAACAGACTGGAAAAACTTTAACAGGTTACAGTGTGAGAAAGAGAAAAAAAATGGGTAAAGACAGTCACAGGAAAAAATAAATAGTTTAAAGATAATTAAGTAAAGTTTTTAAAGAAGGAGTAAAGTAATATAAAAAGAATAAGCCATGTGAGGATGGGAAATAGAGAGGGAGTCTGGATCCTGAATGGTGCCTTGTTGAATGCTGATGAGTGAACAGCAGCTGCCGAGAGACATGGGATTGTAAAAGGACTGCTGAACTAAACCAGCCTAGATACTTTAGAGCTGTCTTAACTTTAAAGTGAAATTCAGAAAGTGTATTGCGTTGGGGGAAAGGTTATGCTTTTGTTTCCACAGGAAAAGAAAGGCTGTGGATTCCTTCAACATTAATAGAGACCAGATTTGATTGGGGAAGACTCCCTGAAAATCTTGGCTACAGATATAAAGAATTAAACCTAGAAAAACTACAAGGCAGGTGATGTATATGTTGATCCCTTGGCATGGGAACAGCTCTGGGACTGGATGAGACATAATAAATCTCGTTGGCTACAGAGTCCTCATGAGTTATTATTACATGTCATCCTTTCACATGACATGGATAGAGGTTTGGCTATACAGTCCAAACAAACAAAGCTGACAGATATCTTTTACCCGATCAAACATAAAATAAACAAACAAAAATCTTTGGCTGGCTTTTGTACATTGCACAGTCCATACTTGTGTTAATACAGATATGTAGGTTATCTTCAAAGTTTGTGTGTTTTCAGACAGAACAAAGGGACCAGATACCAATGAAAACAGGTGGCTGAGGTGATCCAGGCTTTCAGATCAAGTTCTCTTGCAGTTTCCTCAGAGTTCTGTGTTCAGAACAACTTCAAGGCTCCTAGCTGAGATGGTCCAGCCTCACAGACTACTCTAACCAAGACTTCAGATAAGTCCTGCACTTTCCCATGACAGAGAATGAACAACAAATATTATATCTAGTTTTCTTAGGACCTGACCATTATCTCAATTTTCTTAGGGTTCCCTGGGGATGCCATCGCCCCCAGACAACAGGAAGCAGTCTAGAGAATATAAAGCCCACATTCCCAAGAGATGGGGTGGGTGGTTTTTGGTTATTTGGTGGGTCATGTTTGTCATCATCTAGTACAGATATAGGAAGGAATATAGGGTATAAAGACAACTATTCATCTCAAATATTTTACCTTACTATGGATTTTTGTATACGGATACAAATTTAAGGTTATTTTTGTTATACCATATATATGTTCCTACTGTTCTTTAAGGTGTTGTACCCATGAAGTTCATTTTAAAATGTAATATAAAGTTCTAGTCCTTGAAAGTTATTATTACAAACTATTTAGGATAATTAAAAATGCAGGTTAGTAGTTAGTCACCAATAGCAATTACACTTGGAGTTATGTTAGGTAAGTTTTCAAGGTTAAACATATATTTTAGATAGACAGGTGATCTTCAAATGCTTCAGATACCTAAAAGAATATGACATTTAAGATGTTTAATTATCTAAGGTTTTTCATCACAGGCAGACTGACATGTCTGCTCCTGGCAGAACCAATCTGCTTCATAAAAGAATAATGGTTGTCCAAGAATCTCCATATGGAGTTTGCGTTCACTGTGGCACAGTTAGCCATTTGGAAGAAACTGCCCTTGCCCGGACTGTGGACAGTATACTGTAACACCGGATAAGCAGGACACAAAGGGAAAAGACTGCCAAGCTTTGTCAACACAAGGTGGAACATTCCTTCAAAATTCCTGCTTCACAAAAAAGCCTGTCAAATATTCTAGGCCCATAGGCCAAAGATGGGTGCCCCAATGTTGCAGAGGAAACCTGGGTGACTGTCCAGGCAGCCAGCTGTTTCTGTCACTTCTATAGTTTTGGAAGTTGCTTATTTTTCACTTCCTGTTTGCTCAGGTAATAGTATATCCTTCCTATGTCTCTGATGGAGTTGAAAATGAGATAGTTATAGTTTTCCTTGTTACCAAACTTAACAAAAAAGTTTACATAAGAAATGTAAAGTTTATAAGGCTAAAAAGTATAAAAGCTTAAATTATTTATCTAAGAAAGTATTTTGAGGTCTAGAAAGGTAATTTTGAGTTGGTAATACAAGTTAGGATAGAAAGTAAGTTAGGTATACAACTTTGGACTCACCAAGATAGGACAAATAATGGAGTATTTTCTCTGAATTTGCCAAATGCAAATGCATTGAATATTGTAAATGTAATCCTTGCTTGATAATTTTCTTCTTGCATATAGTCTTACTATGTTGAAGCTAAAACCTTTCTTTAGTCAAAAAGGCAAAATGTTGTAGAATATTTGTTTAACTATGTAAATATGTGTTGCATTTGTTTAATTATATAAAGATGTGTTGCTGTTTTACCTTGCCTGCCTAAGGCACCTGATTGGTCTAATAAAAAGCTGAATAGCAAATAGCGAGGGAGGAGGTATACATGGGACTTCTGGACAGGGAAAGTAAGTAGAAGGAGGAATTTAAGCTCAGGAAGAAAGGAAGAAAGAAAAGGAGATGACGGGAAGATGACAGGGGCCAGACAGACATGGCAGAAGCAGGAAAGTAGAACATACAGAATGAAAGAAAGGTAAAAACGTGGTAAAACGTAGATGAACAGAAACAGGTTAAATTAAGTAAAAAGAGCCAGTGGGACAAACCTAAGCTAAGGCTGAGCAGACATAATTAATGATTCTCCGTGTCTTTATTTGGGAGCTGGTTGGCTGCCCCCCAAAAAATTCCAACTACACACCCACAGTAATGCTCACTGAAATGTGAACCATGGAAAGCTACCTGGTGTCACACTGTCAGGTGGGTACAATGTAAGACCCACTCTATAAGAAACTCCCTCTAAATACAAAGATACAAAGGCAAAACACTCACGAGAGATAAGCCATGCAAACTTGCAGAAAAAGAAAGCTGAAACAGTGTTCTAGTTCATTCTGTATTGCTCTCTTTAAAAAAAAAAAAAAGAAAAAGTGGATGCTTTATGAAGAAAGGCGGCTCACAATGCTGGAGAGATGGCTCAAAGGTTAGGAGTGCCTGCTGGACACCCAGCTCCAGGGCCGTGTGTATGTGTGTGTGTGTGTGTGTGTGTGTGTGTGTGTGTGTATGTGTGTGTGTTTGCGTGTCCTAAGAAGAAACAAGGCTTAGTTAGCTCTCAATGTTGGCTTCCTGGTGAGAGTCCCACCTGGGTGCATTTCAACATGGTGTGAAGAGAACAGACTAAGCACGGGAAAGGCATGTGTGCAAGCAAAGAAAGAGAAAAGAGGAGGCTCTTTTCATGACAGCACTCTCCTGCAGAAGCTCGTCCACTCCCGTGGAGCTGACCCGAGCCATCCATTTTTAAGAAGCATCATTATTTCATCAGGCCCACCTCTCAACAGCTCAACACCAAATGGGACCCAGGCTCACCGCAAATGAGCCTTCAGGAGAACAAACCCCCCTAACCCAAGCATGAAGCTCTATGAATTCAGACAAAAGCAGACCTCAGAAGAATAAAAAGGACCAGGAGTTGAGAGAGGAGATTATGCAATGACGGAAGAAGCACACTTCCTAGTATAATGTATAGAATTAATCTGGCCAGTTTGTGACAGATGGTGCAGTTATCCTCATTAAACTGCAAAGCATTTAAATGATATACAGGTAAATTTTAGAAGGAGCATGCTTCATCATTTCTATAATTTGCAGAAAAATCTCACTTTTCAAATTTACAAGAGATGAAGAAGGATGAAGGTGAGCTGAAATCCCTTTACAGGTTCTGCACCCACTCTGTTTGGCAAGAGTCTAAGCAGGCGCTCGGTGCCCGAGAGTCCATGTTTCAGTTCATGCACACCCCCGTCCCAGCCCCTGTCAGCTCTGATGCAGCAGCATGGGAGGGGTCAAGGTGGTGGGCTAGGAAGGAGGACAGAGGACCAGATCCAGACCTAGGGTCCGGCTCTTTTAGATATGTGGGTTACATATACCACTCCATTGGAGAAAAGGCTGAGGAACTTGTGTTTGCCTGTTCTGACTTAAAGATCCACTCTTTGGTATGAGGTGAGCTAGGCAGGTGCTCTACCACTGAGCTACATCACGGTCCAGGATATTTTTTTCAAAGTATTACTAATTGTGTAAAATCAGTATTTTAAAACCTTAAGAGTAAAAGCAGAAATGGCTGTTCATTCATGCTGTCTCGCACAGTTAACTATCAGGAAGAAAAGAAGTGAGAATTCTGTGACTTGCTTTCCGGAACAATGGCCTCTCCAGACTACCCAGACACTCAGGTCTCAGCCTGCTCCAGGCAGGACCATTGGTTTCAACAGACTTGACTGAAATCTTACATTTAATGCTATAGTCAGATGTAATTATACTCACAAGAAGGCCTGAGACATCGGAATACTTCTTAGCTGGCTTAAAGGATGGAGGAGCATCAATACTAAAGTCTAAAAAGAAGAAAGAAAAGAAAAAGGGTGACCAAATAACTTTCAAACTATCCTAATTCCTTCTAAGGTAACATGTGATAATAGTCCTGAGATTTCCTTTGTGATTACACACCTGCAGAAGCCTCCGGGGATTAACCATGGAATAAAGGGAGGTCTCTCAAAAATAGCCGACTATGATGCCGCAGACTAAGTACTGGCCTCAGCTAGGGTCCTGCCCTGCCCCCAGAGACAAGCTACGCCAGTAGAACTGCCAGGTTCATCTATCCACAGGCCATGTCACAGTCTCCAGTTCAAATGGGCTTCCAGTGATGAAAGGCCACACAGACAGCAACTGGATCCACACACCCAGACTCAAGCGGTCCACACCCAGATGACTAACTTGTCACCATCTGAGTCACCCCATGAAGGACGCTCAGCAGGACAGGAGGTGGAGAGATCTTGGAACGTGAAGTTTCCAGGATAGTTGAACAGAACATCTAATGGTTTTTGCCCGGGTCTGGACATACTAAGGCAGGAGGTATTTACTCATAGAGTAAGTGTGTGGCCTGCTAGCTGCTTGATGGAGACTCTCCCAAATCCCACATCACGGGTAGGCTACGCTGCTTGTGAAACAAATGTAAGGAGCAGACGTTTAGATGAGAGATCCACTAGAAACATCGCTATCACAGCGGGACCTGCTTCTCCAGGTTGAAATTTTAAATAATGACACTAAAAACCAAACAAACGGACCCAACACAGACACAGTGAAGAGGGGATGCATGCATAATATCGCTGGATGGGTGCCACCCTGCAGTTCTCAGGCTAAGAACATCTCCCGCAATAGCACAAACAGGAGCAAATAACGTAGGCTTGTTGTAGGGAAGTTCCTGTCTGCATTACAAACACATGGAAGGCTCTAGATGCTCACAGTTAGGATCATTCAGTTGCCATGGCAATGCCCTTTCAGCAGCGAGGATCTGTTTGAGGTTCTTCCAGGTTCTGTTCTTCTTGCCAGCTACTGCGCCGCCGTGGCCAGAGTGCTCAAATGAAAAGTGGGTTAGAAGGGACGAGTCAGTGTAAGATGCGCCTGGCAACCCGACACCATGCCCGTTAGAGCTGTCGGGCACCTCTCAGTCTGGAAGCAACTATTCGTGTCGCTGAGACTTTTAAAAATACCTCACTGTACACTTTTATCTTTGTCTGGAAGAACATAGTTTTTAGCTGCTCGTGGCGGAGGCAGGGCTGGAAGTTCAAGGCCAGCCTCAGTTACAGGATGAGTTTGAGGCCAGCCTAGGCTACAGGAAACTTTTTCTCAAAATAAATAAATAAATGAATAAACAAATGAGAGAAAGAAAGAAAGAAAGAAAGAAAGAAAGAAAGAAAGAAAGAAAGAAAGAAAGAAAGAAAAGCAACAAATGGGAAAGAAAGAGAAAACAAACCAACAAATGGCTATTTCTCAGCATGTACACAAGAAAGCAAATTCCTTCCTGGGTTCAAACTAGTTGAATTCACTTATGATCTCATCCCTTTAAAATAAGTTTACCACAAAGTTGGGTTTTGCCTTGAGATCACATCTCTAAACTCCCCTCTGAGGGTGTGTCACTTGGCCTCCTAATCACCAGTGGTCCTGGAAAACCCAAGCAGGCTTTAATCATGGTATGGCAAGCCTTCTGGAAATTTCTGTTTGTGCTATAAAGATTAAAAAATAAAATGGAAAAGAATACTAACGCATTTGCAGACTCCAGTTACAATAGATGCCAAGATTCATTAATAAAAATAAATAAACGTTTAAAGGTATAATTTGGGTCACTAACACTGATTATTTAATATAGTCCTCATGAATGAAAGGGATCTAAAGGAATTGGCGAGGAGTGCTCCATTTTAGTTATCTATTTCAAACTTCTTTTAAAACTGAAGGCCAGTAAAAGCGTAGGGGAACAATTATGGGAAAGATCACCCTCAAAGTTCTATCCTCTGGAGAATTCTGGAAAGGCCTGGCACACTGGGAAATCACAAAGGCCTTTCCAGCCCCATCCCTTTCGTCCATCAAATAAAACTGAGGGAGAAGGGGACCCCCAGACATTGGAGCTGAGGTGCAGATGTTCACCCCTATACTTGTATAGCATCTTATATGCTTACCACGAAGTTGGGATCCTTAAATGGCAGCGGTTTGGCAGCTTTTTCTACAGGCCCCGAACTAAACTCAGAGGACGCCATTTTATTCTCACTCATGGCTTCAATGCTGACACCCTTAAAACACAGAAAGAAAAAAAAAACATCTTTGAAGCCAATCCAGGTGGGTTCTTCACATCTACTCTCAACAAGACAGACATGCAAGGGGCCCAGGGCTCCAGCAGACGGCCTGCCCTGGAGGCTGGGGACCACTGTCTATATAAGCAAGAACACTGCAGACACAAGCAGGACTCCGGGTGCCAGGTTTCCTGGTTCCCCTAGTCCAAGCCCAGGGACCGCTGTCCTGTATCAGCTGTCTCATTAACTCTGACAACTGCTAAGGAAGTGTGGTTATCCTCATCTTACAGAAAACTGAGGCACAGGTGGACTGGTTTAAGGCTACACAGCACACACCTTTTCAGTTTAAATCTATTCTATGACACCACATAGTCTCTATCTTGATGATCTTGTCAACTATGTCTCGAAATAGGAAAGCTAGCCTTAGAATCTGGACCTCACAGGTTTATTTTGGTCAGAAAATCCAGGCTGGAGCTAGTCTGCATTTGGGGACAACAGGACACGGGAATTCTGAAAAAGAGGAAGCTGGAGGGACGTGGGCCAGCTGGCTGTAGCTGGAACACAGTGTCCTGCAAAACAGTTTTAAAACAAGCCTTTACGCTAACAACACAAGAGAAAAGAGGCAGAGGTAAGAAATGCTGTCTGGCTTCTAAACCAATTTCAAAACAAACATCTTAGGAACAGAGGCATTGTCTTCACGGAGCAAGCTGCATACATGTCAGGTAGAGGTTTCACGAGTTTCCAGTGCTGACACTGGTACAACCAAACCTCTCCAAGGCTCCAGAACACTCTCTTGCCCCTTCCTGGCTGATCCCTCCCAGACCCAACATGCTGATTCTGCTACATCACTTCTACTTCTTCCAAAAGAAAACTGACAGTATGTGGATTGTACCTGGAGTTCCGACGTCTTCATGCGGCTCAGTGGTTTGTGTCATCAATTCCTCTCTTTCTCATCAGAGAAGAAATCACTACGTGGATGTGGTAAAACCTACCCATTTTTCTGTTGACCATTTGGTCTATTTTCAATGTTCAATCATGAACAAAGCTGCCACACACAGCACCTACCTCTCTACCATGAGTTACCTTTCGGCATGTTTACCACAGAACAGAAATCAAACTAGTCCAGGCACGGTGACGCACACTTTCAATCTCAGCCTCAGGAGGCAGAAGCAGGCAGATCTCTGGGAGTCTGAAACCAGCCTGGTCTACATAACAAGTCCGTTAGGTAAGCTACATAGTGATAGCCTGTCTCAAACCAAACCTTCCCCAGCAGAAAGAAACCAGCATAGTCTACATAACAAGTAGAAATGCTTTTATTTCCGTTGAAAATTTAAATAGGAGTGAAGACTGTGTTCCTGAGAAAGTGCGTATGTGTCTCTGTGTGTGTGTGTGTGTGTGCACGCGTGCGTGCCCTCTCTGTGGGATCTGTAACATGAACAGAAATGAAAAGAGAGGGTCATACGCTGTCACAACAGTTCTCAGAATGGTCTCTCCTTAAACATCTTCTCAGACTCCTCTCGGGGTCTCTGCATGGTCTCTGCCTGGACTCCTCTCCTCTGCCCGCACCACTCCTCAGTGTGGTCCTCCCATCACCCTCCACTACTCCAGTCTTCCAGCATTATGCCAAACCTTAAGCCTTAAGAAACACAATGAAACTGGGGGGTGATGGCGCACACCTTCAATCCCGGTACAAGAGGCAGAGGCAGGTGGATCTCTGTGAGTTCAAAGTCAGCTGGCCTACAGAGCTAGTTCCAGGGCCAGGCCTACTTAGAGATCCTGTCTTGAGAAAAGAAAGAAAAAAAGAAAGGAAGGAGGGAGGGAGGGAGGGAGACTCACACTGAGGTCTCCTTGCATGGATTTATCGGAGCACATGAGAGTGCATGGGCACTGCTACATTAGCCCTTCTACCACTGAGCCACCTGCCTGGCCCTGACATCTGTCTGAAGAGGCTGTGATCCAGGGCAAAAGAGGAAAGGACAAGCTGCTAATCAGAGGATCTCAGGAGACCTTCAGTCAGGAGGAAAGAGGTCATCTAGGACAAACAAGGTGAACTGCTAAGGAAGCAAAGGGATGCTAAGGGGAAAGAAACCTGGTCCTTAACACCTCTGACTACAACCGTGACAAGAGTACTGTGGACACAGCATGGCCAACTCCAGCACCCCAGTCTCCAGAGGCCCCTGGGCAAAGCAGTCACAGCAGAAAGTCAGCGTAGATTTGACAGACAGTTGGAAAGTTCTACCAGGGAGAGGTCACCCCACAAAACAAAGTGCTTCTGCTGACTGTAATGGGGTGTGGGTGACCAGAGCTCACTGTTCCAGGCGGCAGTCTAGTGAATGACGGTCTGGGAACTGGCTCAGCGGTAGAGCACTTGCTGTGAGTATAGCATGGCCACTGCTTCTCCAGCAGTGCAGGGCTCTACGCCACAGCTACCCAGATAAACCCTAGGGAGCTTTCGGGTTTCTGTTTGTCTTTCCTCTTAAACCCACTCCTATGTGACTCCACCCTTACTTCCCCATTCTCCCATTCACAGTCTCCAAGTCAGTACTGAGTCAGGATGACAGGAAGGCCTTTAGTCAGAGGGAAAGTCAAGTCTATGATGCTCTGGCGCAGTTAAAATAAGACACACGATGATCTACGGATTCCATGTCATGAAAGTACCATTAACACCAAGAGACTTTAAGAGATGGAATATCCAGCCCTGAGACATGAAAGGCCCAAAATAGATGGGGAAGTAATGCCTAGAACTAAGGGTTATGTTCTCTTCCCATTACTTAAGATGATGGTGTAAGTCCCAGGGTAGCGATACTAGTCTTGCTGTAAGACACTGGAGCAAGGGGTTCCACCCACCTCTGATGAACAATGGCTTCTGCCAACAGCAGCCCTCATGACTGGGTCTGGGACTTCAGGACAACCTTGTCTTCCTCGTGGGGTGTTTTTGTCATCATTTAAGAATCAAACATAGCAGCCTGGGGTTTGGTGGTTCACGACTTTAATCCCAGCACTCAGGAGACAGAGGCAAAGGCAGGCGGATCTCTGAGTTGGAAGCCAGCCTAGTCTATAGAGCAAGTTCCAGGACAACCAGGGCTACATAGAGATACCCTGTCTTGAAAAACAAAACAACAAAACAAACAAAAAGAATAAAATACAACAGATTTGATTGATTTGATAGTAATTTGGAATAAGAAGCCCAGCCTGGGGTACAGTCAGCTTAGGTTATACAGCAAGATTCTGTCTCAAAAGACTGGAAAAAAGAAAATGTTAACTCAGACCAGGTATGGTATAGCAGATACCTGTGAGGAGGCTGAGGCAGGAAGACTGCTACAAGACCAGTGTAGGCTATATGGTGATTTCAGGCCAGCAATGTCTACATAGCAAGATGATCCTGTCTCAAACCAAACCAAACCAAAGGTGGCCCACAAAGAGCATGGCATGGTAAAACTGGTCTTTTATCCCAGAACTGGAAGAGGCAGGTGGATCTCTGTAAATTCAAGGCTAGCCAGGTCTATATATCACAAGTTCCAGGTCCAGGAGGGTGGATATTGTTGAGAGTCTGAATCAAAAAACAAAATGCAAAAAAAAAAAAAAACAAAAAAAAAAACAAGAACAGAAATTCATCTTAATGTAGTGACTGTATTGCTTGGTCTCAGCATAAGTGAACATTAAATCGCATTAAGGATAACTACAAGAGAATACACACTACACAGCTCATGAAGACTCAAATCAAGAGTACATAACAGAGCTGGGCATGATAATGCATGCCTGTAATGTCAACATTCAGGAGCCTGAAACAGAGGATTAACAATTTAAGTTTGTATCCCAACCTGCAATAACATACTGAGTTCTATGGCAACCTGAGAAACATAATGAGATCCTGTTTCAAAACACGAAACAACTAATGATATAATAATACCCCAACAAAACAAACAAGCCGGGAGTGGAGCATTCAGATAAGTGGATCCCCGAGTTCGAGGCCAGCCTGGTCTACAGAGCAAGTTCCAAGCTAGCCAGGACTACAGAGACCCTGTTTTGGGGAGCAGAGGAAGAAGAGGTACATAAATAAAGCTAACTGAGGTAGGAGATGGCAGAAAAGTGGTTACTTCTTGGGGGGCACAGTGACAGAATTGCAAGGCTGAGGCAGGAGGACAAGATCAGAAGGAGTTTTCTGGGCCTCTCAGGAATGCTCTTATGTGGAGACTACGTATGGTTTGTGTATTTTACTGCATGCAAACACCCCATAAAATGCAAAAAAGGAGGTGGAAGAGGTGACAATGACAGAGTCGCTGAGCAAACGCACCACACAGGCTGAGAAGCATAACCATCCTTATAAACCGATCGTGGGAAAAACATGGGCCCAAACAAACCACTGCTGGTCTCCGCCAGCTATAGTCAGTCCGCTGCGCCAACCCGCTGGGCTCCGCACTTCTGTCATTGACTCAATTTCTTTCTTTTCTACCTTTTTGTTTGTTTTTGGAGACAGGGTTTCTCCCAGGCCGTCCTGGAACTCTGCAGACCAGGTTGGCCTGGAACTCAGAGACCCGCCTGTCTCTGCCTCTCGGACGCGGGTATTAAAGGCGTGTGCTACCACCGCCCGGCTTGACCTCAACCTCTTAACCTTTAGATTTAACACGTAAAAAGAATGAAGGAAGCCACAGGTATCAATCATCTTTGTATTCCTCCATGTTGCACACTGGGGAGACCCCTCAGGCTCTCAGGGGTGTCTGCCCGGGACGCTATGGGTGTCCGCGAACTTCCCTTGCTGATACAGAAAACAAGTCCTAACAGAACTGGGCGGCCCTTCTACTAAGCCGATTATAACCTCCCACCTTACGCTATGATGCGGCTGACTTCTAACCAAAGCCGTAGGTCCGGCCTATGACTCAAAAATACTAATTTCCACCAGGAATTCCGATGTTCTCCTGCTGGAACCGAGCCACATCTCCCAACCAGCACCATCCCACTGGACTGCGCACGCGCTGCAGCATCCGCCCCGCCCCGCCCCGCGCAAGCGTTCTTGGCGCCTCTCGAGCCTGCGCATGCGCTCTCGTCCCCAGGCCCTGCGGACAACATACCTGAGCAAAGCCGGAGGCGGAGAGCTTTTTCTTTTTACTGGTGCCATATCCCCCGCTGCTGCCGTTGTGGGAAGGGCTGGCTGGCCTCTTCTTGCTGTTCCTGGATATGGTGGGAGTAGAAGTGGCAGCCACGATTGGAATTTGAGCCGCCATCCTGCCCGCAGTCCTCCCCGCCCCCACCCCTCCTCTGGCGGGCCCAGGAACTTCCGGCTGAAGGTTACTTCCGTGTTGATGCTCCGAGGCTGCGGGTCACCAGGAGCCTAATAGACTCCTCCCTCTCTGCTCCTAGGAGGCGGGGCTTGGAAGTGTTCCTTCCGGGTCGGAAGGAGTCGAGCTGGTGGTTGCTGCTGAGATTGTGAGCCTTGGTCTGGGCACCTTCCTGTAGGGCCCCAGTGAGCATCCGATCTTTTAGTAACTATTATTTTTTTTCTTGATTTTTAGACAGAGCCCTACAGCTCTCTGTGTAGACCGGGCTTGCCACAAATCATGTACCCAAGGTTAGCTTTGAATTCCAAACCATCCTCCACCTCCCAAATGCCAGGATTACAGTCAAGTGCCCCAGTGCCCATCTCAATGGCTGTAAGAATAAAGGAAGTTAAATATCAGGGCTATTTGTTCGGTCTTACTCCTTATTTGTGCTGAAGTTTTTGTATCAGTACTGCACAATAGACTAGAAATGTCGTGTTCTTCAGTCTTTTAGGATCCAAGACCACTTGTTGCCGTTCCTGACCTCCACTCTCTTCACCAAGTGCGCATCAACAGACAAAATCTACACATGTCGGGGAGGTTGCAAATCTAAACAAATTCAGGAATCACAATTCCTCACACCTTTTTCCTTGCCTCATCCTGCGCAGTATTTCTCCAGAGCCTTTATGCCATTATCTACCTTAATGGTTCCTAACTAGGCAATGCATGTCCATTGGCTAGGACATAATAATATTTCTGTAAGGTGACTGCCAATTGTGTCTTTAGACTAAGGATAAATATATCTGTCCCCAGTTACAGTGACTTGCAAGTAGTTGGTGCACTATAATTATGTTTGGCTGAAGTTCAGAATAAAGGAGTGTGCCCCTACAAGTTAGTAGCTAAAGCAGCAATACAAGTCGATGTTTGAAACAGGCTTTCGACTGAGGCAGAGGGAAGGATCAGTTAAGGGAACAGGAACTGACAATACTATTACTGGCACCTCCTCTAGTGTTGAAATGTTGCTTCCTGTGCCAGCTCTCCTTCCCATCCTCAGCTAACTCTAGTCCCTGTCACAAGGACTCATGCCTCCAGCCGGCAGTCACTCTAGCAAAATCTTATTCCAGTCACCCCTTCAGCTTAATTCCTATCTTCACTGTTCTTATCCCAGTGCCTCAGCCAACCACGTGATCCCTGTATCAGCCTCCAAATGGAAGTCTGAGTGTCACTGTTCCTAATCTATCCTTGGCTCCAAGGCCACTTTCACAGTCTGCTAGAACGGGCTTTTAAATTTGACTGTAGCACTTAACATTCTTATATACAGGTCCTCTTTATCCTCTAGATAAAAACCAGATAACTTTTTAGTTTGGCACATTAAGTCCTTAATAACTGAGGCTTAACTCTCTTCTTCTGTTCAATTCCCAACAAGAAATTCTTTGTGCCCCTGCCAGGGACAAATTCTATTTCCTAGAATATTCTGGTCTCTGAACTCATACTTTGTTCCCATTGTTTTCTTTCCTGAGGATGCCTAGCTCCAGGGCTGGTGATTATCCACTTTTTGCCTCAGTTCAAATTGTATTTGTAATAAGCAGCCGATGTACCCAATTCACCTTGACCCCCCATCTGAATCTTGTGCATGTATCTCTGAGGACATTGAGCATGGAACACCCTATTGACTTGCTTCTTGCAATGTTTACTGAGTTACAATAGAAAGGAGTCAGACAAGTGGGTGTAACACCATTTGGTTTCCAAATACCAAATTCAATCTTCATCTCACTAATTGCTTTCCTCCTAAAATTCTCCCTTGGTTTCTAAAATGTCACCTTCTTATTTTCCTCATAAACTCCAGTTGTCTTTTTTGACAGCTGTCTTGTTTTACCAAATGCTTTGTGGTGCTACTATGGGATTTTCAAAATTATGTCATACGGTTAAATCCCTCTAGACACACATTTTTAGTGTTTCCTGGGAGTCATCATGAGTAGCTATGATTGAACCAGAATCCTCTTGCTTTATTTTTTTACACTGAGAATCACTTGATGTCTAAGGTCCTCTGCCTTCCAAGTCTATACATTTCCCAGTCATTCCAATAACTCCAAAGGCCTGAGTTGCCATCTCCCTTATGAGCCGTCTCCGTGCTTCCCATTTTGGTGCCTGTGGCAGAGTAGTTTCATTCAGTTCCAGGTAACAGGCTCATGATTTTCAGATAATGCTCCCTATCTGGAACCCTCTGTTGTCTTCTTGCAGTCCCTAGAATGAAACTCACGGTCCACAGCCAGAACCCCGCCATCTCTGCGGTCGTACCTCCCCCCTCGGGTCTCTGCACTCCCCCTCGGGTGTCTGCACTCCCCCTCGGGTGTCTGCACTCCCCCTCGGGTGTCTGCACTCCCCCTCGGGTCTCTGCACTCCCCCCCCCTCGGGTCTCTGCACTCCCCCCCCCTCAGGTCTCTGCACTCCCCCCCCCCCCAGTCTCTGCACTCCCTGTCGGTTTCAATTTTTGTCAATCTCAATAACTGTGTTTCCTCCTCCTTCAGGGCTTCAATCCACATCCCTCCTCTGGTATGGAAGTTACATTTCTTCTGCTTCCAGCCTCCTACAGTCCCGGTGACTTCCACTCACCCTTTTGTTCTTGGTGATATTGGCTCATTTTTAGTAGGCCCCTGTCTAGTGTCACCACAAGTCTTCTGTATGAAGTACCTGTTGGTTGCCCTTTATACACTACTTCTGGAGGGTGGAGATTATAAGGAGCAAGGAGACTACCAGTTCCTGTTCTTGGGGATCCCCAGTTTAGTAGGGAAGAAGAGATTCTGTCTTCCCAGCTGGATGTGGCTCCCTGTGTGCAGTTGTCAGAGTCATCAAGAATTGATGAAGTGTATACACCTCACTGCATGCAAAACTCCCATATGACTTCTGAGCATTAAAATGGAGCGGTGAACTGAATGCCTGTGGCCCATATTCAGCTACCTGACTTTCCCCTAAATGTCCAGCCATGCCTGGAAGCTGGGAAAGCCTGTCTTACCTCTGTTGCTAGATGTGCCCTTCTAGCAACCTCCCCAGCCTCCTTACTGCTCTCTGAAGCTCCAGGGTCCCTCTTCACTAAAAGCTCCTGGAGCATCCCTGCGCTGCTAGCATCAGCAGATTGAATGAACCAGTTAAACAGTCTTGATCCCGGTTAAGACTTAAAGATCGCAAGTAAATATTGTACTTGTTAAGATGCTCCATATTTTGAGACATAGAGTGCCTGGTTTATTGTCTCAGAAAAGCTCAGGAAATACAGTGGCTGTTTAGGATCAGGCTGTTGTTGCTGGCTGGAAGACAAGCTGTTCATTTTCTCCTGATAAAGAGCTTGAAGTATGAAAGTCATAGCATGCCATGTAAAAGGTGGCCGATAAAGGACTCCCCAGTGGTAGGGAAAACCTTGAAATTGCTGGTCAAGATGCTTAGAAAGCTCTCCCAGCTACCATGAGCCCCTTGCTCAACAGTTCATCATGACATGTGAACACATGCGGAGTTCCATACATCAAACCACCGCCTCCTGTTGTCCGCCTCTTAGGACCTGGGGAAATGCACTGAACCTGGGAACAAGTCTTCAGTGGCCCTGAGAAGAGTACAAGTCCATGTGCACAAGAGACTCCGAGGTCCTAAGTACCTAGAGTAGGTTCTCCAAGTGTAAGCCAAGAACCTGGATAGACACTACTCCTCGTTTCTACCTCCCTGTTCAGTGTAAACAGGCAAAGGAGGAGGGCCTCCTTGGCCACTTCAGGCTGCCATTGTAGAATGGGTCTCAGCTCAGAGCAGGCCCCAGATGAACATGAGCAGTGGGTGGGGATCTCCAGTTCTTCTTGCTGCTGGACTCGGGGAGCAGAAGGTAGGCCCAAGAGGAGACGCACTGTTATTTGAGGGTGCTGGGAAGTTGGTGTGCTCTCCGTCTCTTAGGCCCAGTGTCCACAGAAAGTGGGGAAAGGAGGAAACCACAGCATGTGCTAGGTAGAGAGAAGGCATCAGAGGTCAGAAGGCCCAGCAAGGCTTGGGAACGCCACTCTAAGGGGCTGTGAGGGACGGCCTCCTGACAGTATATCTGCCCCAGTCCACTTCCAGGGCATCCTATAGCCCCTGCAATGTGAAAGGTCAAATATTGCTCCTTTCTGCAGACACCTGGCACACCTGGGCCACGCAGTCTCCTCTCTGGTCCCCGCAGGTTGCTGTTTTACAAAGTCAGCATAAAGGAAAATGGGTTTTTATGGGTCATTTTGCTTACTGGAACGACTTCCTCAATGTTAAGTAATTACTAACTTAACATTCTGAATACAGTCCCAAAGGGGCTGACAAAAGACTTCCCAAATAGTGGGTTTCTTCTACTAGAGGTTGGACCTACTAGCAGAGTGACATTTCCCTGGCCCTTGGTACCCACCCTTGACTCCGCCTCTGGGCTCTGGTCTTCCCTTCTCTCTTACCAGAGCTCCCACCCATCTCTTAGCATGAGCTGTTATTTTTACACATATTCTTTGTGCATACCACAGAGAAGGAAACCCATGATTACTGTAATTCTCCCATCTCGGAGGTTCTCTTCTTTTTCAAACTTGTTAATCCTCAACTGTGACGCATTGGCCTTCCTAAATTATCGGCCTGCTTCATTTCCCCTGTATCATTTTCCTAACTGCTGCCATGCTCTTCATTTTTGTTTCTCTTTCTTGATGCCTAACACTTGGTTTCTGTTGTGGTACCAGCACCCTGAGGTAGTACCCGAGAAGGCTGATCTACAAGCTTTGGAAATTGTTGCTTCTGGAATTAACATAGATAAAGACTCGTTTTGTAAACTCAAGGAAAACAAAGCAAAACAAAAACTCCCAAAGGTTGAGAAACCAAAAACCTCTTCCAAGACGCGCTGAGTCAACCCTCTTCAGACCTTCCTGCTCCTGCCCTTCAGTAGCTAAGCCAAGCAGTCCAATTCCCACAATATTCCAGCCTAGGCACACAGGGGGCAAGGCAAGTGGAGGGTGTGGCTGGGCAGGGAGGGGGTAGGGAGATTCATTCTGGGCAAAG